AATTTAAACAACACGGAAATCGAAGCTCGACGCTGAATTTCCTTAGAAGAGAATTCCTTCGGATATTTATTCAGCGAAGGACATTTCCTAATGAACTCGCTGTTAACACGTAGACTTCATCGTGGTAGTAAATTATGTAGTTATACAGCACAGCAGATTTGTCACTGTGAATTGAATTAACGATAGCAGAAAACTGCTAAATTTTTTCGAACAACTAGACTGGGTATCATTTAGTTTAAAAATTTGAATATTCAGTACTTAAAATTGTGATATGCGCATAGCTTCTGATATTCTGTACAGTTTTAGACAATACACGATTACTTATATTTTCTGCGTAGTGTGAATACAAAAGTTTTGTCTTTCTGGACTTACGAGAATTTGATGTATTCATACGTATTTACGTATTTGATCAGAAAGCGGAATGTTTTTATTTATTACACAACTTGAAATCGTGGAAGTTAGACATTCTTGAGTTAATACACAGATATATTTAATGATACAAGTATAAGTTATTAATATTTTTTAACAGGTCAGTTAGAATTGGAAGAATAAATTGTGTGCGGCACAAAGTTTTTTCCGTATAACTGATAGTTAGTATCATTACGAGTCATCATATCGAAACCGTAAGTTATTGGCCGACAATAGACGAGGTCGTCGATTGAAATTCAACTGCGTACGTGTGTCATCGTTGGAAGTCCGGGAATGAAACTTCCGGATATTCTTAACGTTGGAAACAAGGTGGCGGTGGAAGGGAAGGAGGAAGAGGGGAAGGACCTTGCAGAGTTCTAAGGAACTCTCGATATGGCCAGCAGGTGAGGCTAACACAGTCAAGAACATCAATCGCTTCGATCACCGCCCATTATTTGCCTTTTCTCTCTTTGACAGATTCGGGAAGGGTGCTGATACCCCAAGCCGTGCGCGAGGCCAGGAAGACGACTATGATCCCATAGCGCATCGTGACATGGATCAACCAATGATCTCGTGATGCATTTAGATATTCTTTTCCTCTTTCACTGTCTTCAATATTATCATTTCAATAATTCAGATATCATTTACGTTTACAAGAACATTCTTTTCCAAATTAATCCTTTACATTCACTTTCCTTTTACGCTGTCCTAAGATCAATTAGTATTTGAATACAAAAATTACCGAAGCTAAAACATCGTATCATTCACTAACTTTCTATTTTAAAAAGCGAATTGTTTTTCATTTAATGGGAAATAATAAAATCAGATCGACAGTGATTGTAGGTGATGAACACACGAATTAATCCTAGACTGAATGGGGATATCGTCTTTCAGAGATTTTGTTGCATTGATGCATCTGTTTAAAGGGTCGATTGGTAACGGGATACTCTTTTTACCGAACGGATTCAAGAGATGTGGTTTAGTGATACCACTCATATCTGGCTTCGTTATAGGCTTGCTGTGTATACACACGGTCACTACGTTGGTAAGTATATACTCCACTTTAAGGCAAAAAGTTAACGAAGAGAGTGAAAGTATTGTAGGGAAACTTTTATGGCGATCGAACGATTACGTAAGGTATTTTGTAATCTCACATGTAAAAAATAATTAAAAGTGCGATTAAACGGATTCGTGCTGGTTGAGGCATCCGTTTAAGAGCAAATGCTATCATTTTCATCAAGTGGTGAAGATTAATACTCTCAGTGAAAGTTAGTACATTAACTATCTTCCTTATGACTCTTATACTAATCATGTCATGTTTTAAAAGACAAAGGAAGTTTGATGAAAATATTCATACAATAAATTAAGCTGAAAAATCGATCACGAATTCGTCATTAAAGTATTTTTCTTTGATAGCAATCGGTCAT